TCCAAGCTATCAGCAACACCGCTGTTTCACGCTGCTCCTGAGAGGTGGAATGGAATCCGATTAGGTAAACGGGGAACAACAGCAAGAACTTCTAAGTGATCAAATCAAGTTGTTTTTTTCCATCATTGTCTGCAATACAGAACAATTTCATTCACCCTGGGTCAAGGTGCAGATTGCTAGAAACTTTTTGGGTTGTTGGTGTTGTTAAAGTGCTGTCAATTCGTTTCTGACTTAATCAAACCGAGGCCGTAGATCTTTGTGGAAACAGAAAGACTCATCTTTTTCCCATGGAGTAGCTGGTGGGCTTGAACCACCGACCTTGTGGTTAATGGTCTAGTGTGTCCCCTACAGAGCCACCTTCTGGATGTACTCTGGTAATGAACAAGAACTTTCAGTGTATCCCTTGGTGTTTTAATTCAAGAATTCAAACAACAGATTCTAAAGACAAAATGATGGAAATGTGCAAAGACCTAGTTATCAATGACATTATTTGTAGAAATCCAGGGAAGTGTGTGAAGCCCACCTGGCGATAGCTCTCTAACCCAAGGCAAACCTTGCTAGCCATCGGCAATGGGCCAAGACCACATGGACCTGAATAGAAGTAAAAAAAGTATAATTAAGGAAATGAACGCTGAAGTATGTGACCACTGTAGTATGTAGTTCTTGATCCATATCTTTATAATCATCCTGGAAATTGTGTTCCCCATCTATGAAACCAACCTTCACACGTATTGATTTCCAGCACATTATCCTCACCGAATGATGTCAATAGTATTGTGATCTAGCAAAGGTCTTGCGAATCATTATCTAAAGATGTATGATTTGTCCTCTCCCACATGCCTAAGAACAATGTATTTAAACTGAATCTGTAAAATAATAAAGCACTCTCGACTTGAGTCTCCTGCCACTTTAAATTCTCCGTCCACCTCCGGGAACCTGTTCATGCAGGGCTGGCCCCTGCTATTATTATTGCAGGTTGTTGTTGTGAAATGCCGCTGAGTCAGTTCCAACTCATAGTGACCCTGTATAGGGTTTCTGAGGAGCAGCTGGTGAGCTCGAACCACTGACCTTGTGGTTCAAACCAACCTTACAGCCCAGTGCATTAACCTGCAGTGCCACACTCCTTATTGCAGGGTTGTTGTTGTTGTGAAGTGCCGTTGAGTTGATTCCAAACCCTATATTGTTGTTGCTATGTGCCATCAAGTCGGTTCCGACCCATAGCGACCCTGTATAGAGTTTCCGAGGGTGTAAATCTTTACGGGAGTAGAAAGCCTCATCTTTCTCCCGCGGAGCGGCTGGTAGTTTCGAACCGCTGACCTTAAGGTTCGCAGCCCGATTGGTAATCACTACGCTACCAGAGGGTTTCCAAAAAACGGCTGCTGAGCTTGAACTGCTGACCTTGCAGTTCAAACAACTTTACGGTTTGATGCATTAGCCCACAGTGCCACACCAGGACTCCTATTGCAGGGTAGAATCTAGATATTTAAAGTCTCTTTCACCCACAAAAAGAGTCTAAAGAGATAGAGTCTCCATGAAACACTATGCTCTGTAGAATAGGTATGGAGAGATCAGAGTTTAACAGGGGTTGCTGGGGTGGGCGGAGCACCCCTTGGCCCCATATGGTAAGCACTGGACTATGAACCACAAGGTTTGAGCCCATCAGCCACTCCGTGGGAGAAAGATGAGACTTTCTGTTCCCACAAAGATTTAAAACCTATGCAGCCTTTCCAAGACTAAGACTCAATGGGAATACATGAGCAAACATGCACTCTGGTTGGTGACCACGTTCATCACCGATAAGGGGAAGTGAGGGAAAAACAGCAATAAAGCAGCAAGCTAAGCCCTACAATGTTCAATAGACTCCTGTGAACCCGGGTGGTGACCTAGTCAACCAGCAGTGTGGCAAGACCTGGGGACTCCTGGGCCCAGAGTCAGTGGCATAGCCACAGAGGACTAGAGTAAAGAGTGAAGCGTTCAGCTGATAAGAAGAGAGGGCATATGCACAAGAAAACCCACACTTGCAGATAGTACCCACTTGACCTGGCCTCAATGACTGGATGATCAGAGCTCAACTAGAAGAAGAAAGAAGAGGGGAAAAAAGAGTAATCTGATACAATTTGATGAATTTGACCTACACCTATGAATGCAGTAGCTCAAAAGAGGGAACAAATCTTTACAGCAAGGATCATTCCCACCCCCTCACTACACAGGGTAGACAGGGATGGGCAACTTGGACATTGGCTACCCAAAATGGGGGTGGGTGGGGTGGGTGGGCTACAAAGGCAAGGAGTGACTGGGTTATAACATTCAAGAGGGAACCTAGATCCAGAGGGTGTGGAGGAAGGTACAATCTCCACTAAATATTATCCAATCTGTCTGGGTGGGGCTGATGAAAGGAGATGTGGATAGGTCTCTTGTGATACAATAGTGAATAATTGTTATCAGGATTGACTGTGAGGGTTGGAAATGTAAAGGTAGATGTTTTGTAGCAAAAGGAGGGGAGAGACTGACTTTGCAGTCTAGGAGCGGAGGTCCCTGGAACCATCAAGGGAGAAGAACGGAGAGCGGGACCCTACCCAGAGAAACAGTGATGCCAGAGAGCCAGAGATGGAGGCAGAGATGATGACGTGGAGAGATGGAGCTGTTGGGAACTTTAGACCCAGAGAGGGTGTGCTGGCGATCGGGGGAGGTGGGGGGCAGGCTTGTAGTGTATACCCTTTGGTTGGTTGATGATGCATGGAGGGGATTGTAACCATGGCAATGAAATGATATACAATAGGTTGAATGTAAAGCTAATGTTCTCCCATGTAAACTATCACATTATGCACAATAAAACATTAAAAAAAAAAAAAAAAGCAAAGCACAATGAATCACTAATTGATTAAAAAACCAACAACAAAAAAACCTATGTAGGGCCTCTATGGGGGGGAAGAGCAACCAGCGCAGGGAGGGGGAATGAGGGAAATGATTGTTTAGAAAGTACTGAGTTTTTATTTGAGGGTGGTGGTGAAAACTTGGCATAAGACTTTAGTGATGGTTGCACAACAGGGCTGATGTTCACTGCATTGTGAAAAGTGCCGTCTACCTGGTTCTGACACATAGCGATTTAGTATACGGTTCCAAGGAGCAGCTGGTGGGTTTGAACTACTGACCTTGAGGTTAGCAATCCAGTGCTTATCCTACTGTGCCACACCAGGATTCCTACAACATAATATAAAGTGTAAACAACTTTGCAAATTATCTAGAGCTGGGAACATTTCAACACATGTTGATAAGGGTCTTTTTATAAAAAACAAAACAAATTGTAATCCAAAAAGGCTCAGCCTAAGCAGGAGAGAGAAAACTAAAAAGATATTCAATTCTGAAAAATCAAATGGCATGTTACATGTATGATGACACCCATTTGCAATGAGAAAATAGTTTTCTTGGGGCCTTGTGGTTTAGATAGTATGTTTACCTTTAACGTGTGGATTGGAATTGGAATTGCATTTCTCTCCAAATGGCATTTCTAAATATGCAACAACAACAACAATAACAACAACAACAAACCCTGACTCAGGCTGACCCCATGTGTGCAGAGCACAGCTGCTTCTTAGGGTCTTCAAGGCTGTCACCTTTTAGAAGCAGATCACCAGTTCCTTCTACTCAGGGGACTCTGGGTGGGTTTGAACCACCAACATTTCAGTCAGTAGTCAAACACTTCAAAGTTTGTGCCACCCAGGGACTCTACCATATAGAAGGGGGTTTCAAAAATTCCATTTTCCCACCAACTTTTTGAAGCCCCCCTCGTATAAGTAGGCACTTCTTTGAAGATTTTCTGATTGAAGAATATCTGGCTGAAGATGATCTGTCGTCAATCTCACTATACTCTTCTAGAGAAAAGCAATACACGTGACACCCACTTTTGTTGCTGTTGTTTAAAGTTTTATTCAAAGCTCAAAGATTTGACAGTGCATAGAGTAAACCTCTGTGTTTCACGGGCCACCGGCTGGGCCAGCACCAAAGGGTTGAAAAATTCTTTTGTCCACTGGGAGAGTTGTAAAGGGTCTTGTGGATCTCACTGTCACACCCGAGGATGACCAGGTGCAGGGTCAGCACTGAGAGCCCATGCAATGGGAGAGCAAAGCACCAGGAGGCAGTGGTCCCAGTCCAAGACCCCTGACTTCAAAGAGCAGACAGTCTAGGTAACTTCACACCAATTCCCAAGTTATAGTCATGGCACCGAGACATGCAGTGGGTGACTCTCAGGGGCTAAATTCCAATCCAGGCACAATCCCTTTGCACATAGTCCCTGTTAATCCTCCCAAAGCCCAGGTGAGGTAGGTGGGATCCCTTCTGTAATCTACTACCTAGGATGGACCCTGTTGTTGCTAAGTGCTACTGACTCATTTCTGAATCATGACTACCCTGTATAGACTTTCCAAGGAATGGCTGGTGGTTAGCATTCCAGGTGGGCCTTAGCCATCCAAAGTGCCAGGGGTCTGTTCTAGTCCCTTCCAAGTAATTTTGTATTGGTTTTCCTGATTGTCTTGCATTTGTCTTGTTCCTCTCCCTACTGAGGTTCAACGTGCATTGTTCTGATTGTATTGTTCGGCAATAAATAACTTAAGGTGGCATTGACTAGCACCCGTAGGAAAGAAGCCACTTTTAAAGTGGACCGTGGCAACCGCACATCTAATCTGCAGCGAAGGGATGAGGATTTGATGATTTTCAGGGCACCAGAAGAGCTAGTAACATTGGTAACATTCTCTTATGGCCCCTTGGCAATAAACACGGGCTTGCTGAGTCTTAATGCCAGGATTTTTTTTTTTCTCTTTTTAATGAATTGGTGCCACATGAAACAGTCTGAGATGTTAATGACAAAGTTCGTTTCAGCTAGCGGATATTAATCATGTTACAAGCAAAGTATTTGGTTGGTTGGTTTTTCAGTTCATTTCCTCATTCAGACATTTGTAAATGTTTTTCAAATGTCCTCTTTGTGATGTACCCCAGGGATCCAGTTAGAAAGAGAAGTACTTGGTAAACCATTCCTGGTGTGCAGAACTCAGTTTCTGCTGACCGCCTTTGGGCTCGGCAGCTTCCCCTTCATGTGTCCTAAAAACAAGCAAAAATGTTTTCTTACATGATTCTGAAAATGATCCAATAAGTAACTTACTAGCCACCATCGTTTCAGGGGAAGACAACGGCTCCCTGCCTCTTCAAAAGACACTAGACGTGACCAGTTCCTATTAGCAACTGGAAACCAGGTCAAGGAATGGGAAAAGCGTGTTGAATTTCTCCTGTGAAAGCAGGGCTCTCTGTTCTTTTAAGACTTAGTGGTTGCTACTCTGATGAAACTTATTTTATAAAATGTATTATTCATTTCGGTAGCATAGTGGTTACGAGTCGGACTGCCAACCTCAAGGTCAGCAGTTCAAAACTACCAGCGGTTCTTCGGGAGAAAGATGAGGCGTTCCGCTCCCGTAACGATTTGCAGCCTCAGAAACCCTGTGCAGAGTCACTATGAGTCGGAACCGACTCCACAGTACTTAACAACAACAAAAACATTATTTATTTCAGGTAGAAATTTGGCAGTAAATGCCAGGAAAAAAGGTAAAAGAAATGTTGAATCAACATGGTTTTTGTTGTTAAGTGCCAGCTCATGAGGACCCTTTATAAGGTTTCCGAGGCTTTAAATCTTCAGAAGAGCAGAAAGCCTCACCTTTCTCCCGCTGAGTGGCTGGGATTTTGTGGTTCGCAGTTCAGTGTTAATTGAATAGAGCATAGCATTACAATTTTTTGCCTCTTCCAAGTTAATGTGTTCAAGCATCTCAATCCGTGGGAGAAAGATGAGACTTCCTGCTCCCATAAAGATCTTGTTATTGTTAAGTGCCACTGACCCATAGCGACTATGTATAGGGTTTCCAAGGAGCAGATGGTAAGCTTGAACCACCAACCTTGGGATTCAAACCAACTTTGCAGTCCAGTGCATTAACCTACAACACCAAGACTACAGCCTCGGAAACCCTATACAGCATCTCTATGAGTCGGAACCGACTCCACAGCACGTAACCACCAACACCCACCAGCATCTCAGTAAGATTGTGATATTCGCCCAATTCACCTTGATAAGAAGCAAAACAGCCTCTCTGTGCTGTTTTGTGCTCTGGGAGCACAGTTTAAAATAGGCACTGGGCCGCTAACCACAGTGTTGGTGGTACAAATCCACCAGCTGCTCCACGTGAGACACATGAGGCTGTTTGCACCTAAGAAGATTTCCAGTCCCAGTAACCCTACGTAGGGTCTCTATGAGTCAGAACTGACTCAGTGGCAGTGGGTCTGGTTTGGGCTAATACTGTGATGGGAGTCCCTGGATGGAGCTAAGGGGTAACAGGTTTGACTGTTAGCCAAAACGTTGGAGATTTGAGTCTAAGAAGAAAGGCCTGGCAACCAACCGCCAGAAAACCAGCAGTTGAAAAAACTCCCATGGAGCACAGCTCTGCTCTGACTCACGTGAGCTCACCATGAGTAGGAGCTGACTTGCTGGCAGCTAGTTTGGGGTTTTAATTTGAGTTGAATGTACTGCCTGGGTCAGGAGCTGGTTAAGAAAGGGTGGACTTGGGGTTCTAGCTTTGACTTTCCTCAGCTGTGAAGCAAAGGGGCTGGACTCAGTGAGCACCGGGGGCCAGGCCCACCGCACACTCACAGGAGGCTGTTGTTGCTATGGGGTGGACTCCCACTCGGAGCGAACCCACATGGCAATGCAGGGCTACCCCGGAGGGTCTCTAGGCTGTGTTCTGTACAGGCAAGAGTCTCCGGGTCTTTCTACTGTGGAGTCCCAGTGGGTGCGTTCAAACAAGCACATTTAACTGATGTGCCGGTAAGATTCCTCACTTCAGTACAAAAGGCTCTATCCCGAGTCCATTCTGACTCAGCGATCCTATAGGACAGCATGGAGCTGCTCCCTGGCATACAACAACAACAACAACAACAACAAGAGAACAGCTCTCTAAGGTTTCTGAGGCTGTAAACCTTTACGGAAGCAGACCACCTCCTCGTCCATGGAGCAGCTGGTGGGTTCAAACTGCCAACTTTTCAGTTCGTAGCCCAGCGCTTAGCTCACAGTGCCACCAGGGCTCCTTTTCATCAATGACTAGGGCTCCACATTTGTCTAAATAGACTCCAGGTAGGCAGGCCCTCTGAAATAGGGGCCCTTTCTGGAATGCCAACTTTGAGACCCTGAGTAGAAGACTGGCTAGAGAGAGAATTCATAAACCAAGGGAAAATCACACATTGCTAGAAGGGAAGCATGCTATCAAAGTTTCTGGGGAAAAAACAACAAAAAGAGGGTGATATGTGAGATCATCAAACTCACAGATTACGAGACGTGAAAATTCCAAGATACCATCTGTCTTATGAAAGAACCTTAATAATGGAATTGGAAACAGACTGAGGGTTCCTATGCTGAGTGCATCCTACGGGTCCCATGGGTCCCATTCCTTTAGTCTCACATCGCTCTCATGAGGTAGGTGCCATGTTACCCCAAGTTTAGAGGTCAGGAAACAATCCAGAGAGGTCAAGTGACCCACCCAAGACCACACAGCTAGGAAGGGGGTGGGGCAGAATCTGAACCCAGACTTCCCGGCCAGATGAAGGCCTGTCTCCTGTGTAACTCTCTGGGTGACTGACTGCAGGCGCCAGCTAAGTGAGCCAATGTGTCACGTCTCACAAATCATGGGGGGAAAGTCCTGGGATTGGTTACCCAGAAAAATATCATCATGGTTAGCTACCAACCAGTTGGGCCCCGACTCATGGTGGTCCCATGCACAATGAAACAAGACACTCCCTGGTGCCCAGCCAACCCTGCTGTGCTTTGGAATAGTGTGATTCAAAGTTTCAGCCACTGGTTTTTGTCGGTAGGTCTCCAGGTCTTCCTTCCTGGTTCATCTTAATCTGGAAGCTCTGCCTCCAAGGGCATGCATGAGGTGTGCTTGTCGGGAATAGAACCTGGGTCTCCAGCATGAAAGGCAAGAGTTCTACCACTGACTATAGTACCTTATCTCTTTTCCTCTTGGCTGGGTGAGAATTTATTCAGAGAAGGACTTCTTTACCATTCTTTACAATGGTACAAATAACATCATCAGAAATGGAGAAAAGACTGAAATTGTACAAATAATATCATCAGAAATGGAGAAAAGACTTCATTTTGCTTAAATCCACAAGCAACACTCAACAGAAGCAGCAGGCAAGAAATCAAATGACATATTGCATCAGGCAAATATGTTGCACAAGACCTCTTTAAATTTATCAGTTTGAGAAATACGTTGCGCCTGACCCAAGCCATGGTATTTTCAATATCCACATGCATGTAAAAGTTGGACAGCGAATAAGGTAGACCATACAAGAATTGATGCATTTGAGTTATGGTGTTGGAGGAGAATATTAAAGATACCATGGACTGCCAGAAGAACAAACAAATCTGGGTTGGAAGAAGTGCTGCCAGACTGCTCCTTAGAAGCCGGGATGGCCAGACTTTGTCGCTCATACTTTGGACATATTATCAGGAGAGACCAGTCCCTGGAGGAGGACATCATGCTTGGTAAAGTGGAGGGTTGGAGAAAAAAAGAGGAAGACTCCCAGTGAGATAGTCAGGCACAGTGGCAGCAGAAATGGCATCAAGCTTAAGGATTGTGAGCCTGGCTCAGGACCTGGCAGTGTTTTGTTCTGTTGTGCATAAGGTTTCTATGAGTCAGAGACGACTCCATGGCACCAAACTACAACAACAAATGTCTCAGTATTTAGGAATCCGAACTGCCTTCCGATCCCTCCATGAGGAAATGGTTATCACAGCTTCTGCGCTCCCTACCTTGAGGCCGTTTTGTCATCTAGAGACTGGGTGGGTTTGTAGGGCCGGCCACAGTTGGGGCTGGGGTCCAGGCTGGGTGATTTGGTTATTGGAGGGGCGTTGATCCTGGAGCTCAAATCGCCACTCAGAAAGTTCTTTGCGTAGGAGGCGAGGTTCGGCACACTGACCACTCGGCTGGGCACTTCCTCCATCTTCTTCTGTTTTATGAATGGAAAGGTCTGGTGAGTTCCACCAAAGAAAAACCGATTGTAAAAGCGAATAACATCTGCGCAATTAAAATTACACTGGAGAAGAGGTGTTATAGATGGAATGTGTGTCCCCCCACAAAGAAATGGGATTGGTCCTAACCTCTGAACTATTTCCTGTGGGTCGTTTTTCAATGACGATTCCTCTGAATGTCCACCAGCCCATCAGTAAGTTACAGTTACCTTTAGGAAACAGGAAGCCAGCAGAATCGTGGATCCCATTCAGACCAGTGGGGCTAATTTACCTTCATGGAAGGGGTCAAATACCCCGGATGAGGATTGAAGGAGAAGGACCGGTTCCGATGGGACATGGAGCTGGGAAACGCCGCGCAGTGGAGTCGCCTCTCCTCCTGCAAAACCAACATAACAGGTGCTCGTGGGGTGCACCGCTGCACTGTTACAGGGGTGACACCAGGATGAGCCCCGAGTCAGCGGGGGCGGGCGGTGGACCGGAAGTTGTATGTGTGTAACATACTGAGTTACCGCACTGTGCTACATAACCCTGGCGATGCCACTGCCCAGCCCCTTTCCAAAATAAAACCACAAAACCAAACCGACAACCAGCGGCTGCTAAGTCAGAGGCAGGTCAGGCGCTGCCCCTGGCGGGCGCCACTTATACATAAAGGTGGGGGTGGGGGTGGCTGGACGACTAAGCAGTTTCTAGTCACCGGCAGGCACTGTCCTAGGCACTATTTTCTTTAACAACAGACACCTCCTCCGTTGAGTTGTTGAGTTGATTACAACTCATGGCGGTCCCATTCCTCCAGCTGGTTTTTCAGATTCCTAGAATACTCTGGATGGATTCAACCCACCAACCTTTCTGGTTAACAGCTCAGAGTGTTAGCCATTTACAGCACCCAGGGACTTAGACCAAAACACAGGCTGGGTTTATTTGGAGTGCCAGCAGAAAGTATGGATCCAGGCTCTTAGCATGGGAGGACAAGCCGCTACTGCAGAACGTTTATAGGTAAACGCCTCAGAAACCTTATACAGGGTGGATACGAGTAGGAACGGACTCGATGGCACTGAACAAGGGAGTCGAGTCCCTGGGTGCTGGAAACAGTTAACATGCTTGCTACTTGGCGATCTACGTCTATAAAGAATAAGTCACGTGACACCCTAGGAGGACACTTCTACTCTGACACACAGCACATCACCATGAGTGCCAACTGACTTTATGGCAGCAACTGGTTTTATTCTCTTGCACGTTTTTTTTTCTTAAAACAGCCACAGCGCCTTTATCACACTTATCAAGTGAGCAATAACCAGTTACCATGGAGATAATTCCAACTCATGGCGAACTCATGTGTGTCGTGGAGCAGAACTGTGCCCCACAGGGTTTCCATGGCTGTGACTCTGCAGAAGCTGATTGGCAGGACTGTCTTCCCAGGTACCTCTGGGTGGCTTCAGCCGAGCACCATGTCCACAGCGCCACCTGGTGGTTAAGTGCCGTGCAGTCGGTTCCGACCCATAGCGACCCTGTACAGGGTTTCCGAGGCTGTAAATCTTTACGGGAGTAGAAAGCCTCATCTTTCTCCTGCAGATCAGCTGGTAGTTTCGAACTGCTGATCTTGCGGTTCGCAGCCCGATTCGTAACCACTATGCTAGGGACTCCAAAATGGACTGATTCCTTACTACTGCCACTGGCTTCTCAGCAGTGTTGAAGTTCTCCTGGCTGTCTCCTGGCAGTGGCTGTCACCGAGGTGGGGCGGGGGGCAGCGCAGAGTGGGAGCAATAGGGGAGGCGTGTGTGTGTGTATGTGTGTGTGTGTGTGTGTGTGTTGGTCAGGAGCAGCAGGGGTGGCCCATCAGGGAGGAGTAGTCCTGAGGGAGCTAATACAACCAAGAGGGTCCTGATGTCTGTGTCCACAGGTGGCTCTGGTTGCCTGGATATCAACACCATGTGGGACGAGTGGAGCCACGACCCGTTACTGGGTCCCCAGTATTGGGTAAAGGTGGCTGCAGGCAAGACAGCTGGAAGTGGAGGTTGGGGGCAGAGGGACTTCAGGTCCTCATCCCCTTGAGCTGCATGGACAGCACTGAATCCATCAACTACTGTCCACTACTGTCCCCAACACTGAAGGTCTGTCCCTGGAATCTGTCCTTGCTGACAGTTGGGGCCATAGAAAGAACTTCCCACCATGAGCTGGGACTGGGCTGGACCTAGAACGATGGTCCATGTAAAAGGAGGGCTGGGCAAGAGGGGCATTTCAAAGAAATACCACCAAGCATCAGAGTCATGTGGGCACAGAATATCAGAGGGACTTCTGTTAAAGGAGTCAGTGGTTCTAACCCACCAGCTGCTCTGCAGGAGAACACTGTCTGCCCAGGAAACCCTAGGGGACACATCTACTCTGTTCTACATGGTCACTGGGAGTCGGAACTGACCTGAAGGCAACTAGGTTTTGGTTTAGGTGGCCAGTTTTATCAAAAAAAAGGCTGATGTTGTTAAGAGCCTTCAAGTCCATTTTAACTCATGGTGGTGTTGTTAAGTGCTGTCTAATCCGTCTGACTCTGTATAGGGTTTCCAAGGAGCATCTGGTGAGTTTGAACCACCAACCTTGTGATTCAGTGCTTATCCTACAGCACCACACCAAGACTCATAGGGTCCCTTTATAGGGGTGGGGTTTCTGAAGAGCAGCTGGTGGGTTTGAACTTCTGACCTTGTGGTTCACAGTCCAGTGCTGATCGCACAGCACCACACAAGTAGGTTAACAAAGAGCAATTCATTTGTCTAATGTGACTAAACTTCAAATACAAGGGAAATTGTTCTCGATTTCTATAGGTTACAAATGTGAATCCATGTGCCAGGCTTTGTTGCAGAATGACTTGTTCTTCTGGTTCCTGAGTTCAAGCTATACAGTGAGTACACATTTCTTTTCTAATAGGAACTTAGTGGCCATTGAGTCGATTCTGATTTACAACGACCCTGTAGGATAGAAGGGAGCTGCCCCATAGAGTTTCTGAGATTCAGTCTTTCCGGGAATGGACCACCTTATCTTTCTCCAGAGGATCAGCTGATGATTTCAACCTCTGACCCTTTGGTTTGCAGTCAAGCGCTTAAACACTGTATGACCACACTCCTTTTCTAATAGGAAAACCACAGGATCCTTTGTAAGGCGGTTTTATGTTATCAGGATTAAAATGGGAGGTACCAGAGAAATGCCAGGTAGGAAGTCAGACCTCGGTGGCCTGCCCAGCCCCTGGGCTCCTGCGGGCAGCCTCACCGTGAGCTGTTTGATGGCGCCCTCTCTCTCCTTCAGGAGGGTCTGCAGGTGGCCTATGAGCTGAAGGTCCTCCGGCCTGGATGCTCCCTTCCCCGGCTTGTCTCCAGAATCCTTGAGTCTGTGGCAGGCAGACAAGCAGTTAGACCCACAAAGGGGAGGAAGACATAGAGTTGCTGTCTCCCTCCTTCCTGTGTGCTCAGTCTGAGCAGACACTGTCTCTGTGCCCAACGAGGAAGCGGAGGCCCTGGAGTCCTATCCAGGCCACCCAGGGACCCCAGCCACCACCCAAGCCTGAGCTCTGGCAACTCCATAGAGGGTGCTGGGTCAAGGAACCTGGTTCTTCTGAGGCTTTTTTTAATGAAAAAAAAAAAAAGCATTGTTGATAATATACAAGTGGGCTTCCAAAAGTTCATGAAAAAAATTCCATTATCTTTTAATTCCATTTTCCATGAACCTCTGGAAGCTCTCACACACAGCAAAAATGCAACCGTTCAGCACGTTCTATGCACATGATTCAGTGACAAGGACAACAGCGTCCTCTCCCTGCTTTTCTGTGTTCCTCCCCCATTCACATAGCCCACCTCCCATAGGCTTCCTACAGAACCTTTCAAATTGCTGTTGTCAGTTTGATCCCGTATACGTAGGGGCTTCAAAAAGCTGGTGGAAAAATTTCCATGATCTTTTCATTCTATTTTCCCATGAACTTTTTGATGCCCCCTTGTAGAATGCTCAAAGCAAACATTTTCTACTATTTAAGCCAAATGACTGTTTGGTTTTAGGAAGACTTCAGAGGATAATTTTGGTTTAAGGTTTAAAGATGATCTCAGCCTGATGGTTCTAGGAAATATGGATTCCAGGGAGATTTGCTAGACTATTTGGAGTCTTGGTGTGGTGGCATGGGTTAATGCACTAGACTGTAAGATTCGTTTGAACCGCAAGGTCAGCAGTTCAAGCTCACCAGTCACTCCTCAGAACCCTATACATGGTAGCTATGAGTTGGAACCAACTTGACAGTACTTAACAACAACAACACTGTTAATTTGGAATACTGGTGTGGCACTATAGGATAAGCATTGGATTTGGTAACCACAGGGTCAGCAGTTCAAACCCACCAGTCGCTCCTAGGAAACCCGATACATGGTCTCTATGAATTGTAGCGAACTCAATGGCATTTAACAATAACAGTTGTTTATTTAAGGAGTCCTGGTGGCGCTGTGAGTTTGGTGTTGGGTTGCTAACAAAAGGTCTGTAGTTAAAACCTACCATCTTCAGGAGAAAGAAGAGATTGTCTGCTCTTGTTAGTCTCAGACACTACTCTGTCCTTTGGACTCTTTATGAGTCAGAATGAACTAGAATGCAGTGCATTTGTGGGTTTTCATTGTTAATTTAAAAGAAGGCTTTAGGGTTTATTTGGTTGAAGGTTTAAAGATTATCTCAGGATTTACTGTGGGTGCATCCAGCCTCAATGGCCCAAGGAGCTGCGTTTGTGGGCATGCAGATCCTGGTGTGGTGGTGATAACCACAAGTCAGCGGTTCAAACCAACTAGCCAATCCTTTGAAACCTTACGCAGAGTGCTACTGCACTCAGCTGGGCTCCAACGAGAGCTCAGGGCAGGAAAATGGGGCCCACTGGTTCTGCGGGTGCCGGTGTGATTCTGTCGCCATCTGCTGGCCGACATGGGGCATGGCATGCCTTTCAGAGCGAAGCCAAAGAAAGTCGTAACTCTTTTGGACTGTGGGCTGGGGAGGATGAGGGCTGTAAGCTCTCACAGATTTGGTTGAGAGATGCCGTGTGCTTGAATCCTTTTTCTAGCTATGTGACGTTGGACACGGCATTTCACCGGCAAGACTCGGTTCTCTACTCTTTCCAACGGGTATAAAGTCGGGTGGTTGTGAGGATTCAGTGAAATCATGCGTGCCTGAACCGTGCTAGTCAAGCCTTCCACATGCGGCTTTTGGATGATTTGCCTGCATTGGAGACAACTGAGAATAAATAGTCTTTAAGCGCGCAGCCTCAGAACCAGACAGGTTGTATTTAAATTTGCTGCGTGACCAATGTGAACATGGATTCCCGCAATCAAGTGTCTTGTCTCCTTGCTTCGATGAACCCTACAGTCTTTTCTCTCTGTGGCCAGAATGAGCTTGTTCAAAGGTAATCCAGGGTGAGGCCAGAGGACTCACCGAGTGAACCCACCCACACACTAGCTCCTGAGGTCGGCTTTTAGTGAAACGACAGATTGGCTCAGAAAATAGACTCATTCAGAAGCACTGTGCTCCTTTAACAAAACCACCTTGAAACCAAATGGTCAATAATTACTTTAAAACAAACATGAGAAGCGGGCTGGGAAACTAGATGAGTGGAAAAGGTACAACCAGAATGGAAATAATGAGAATGTCCACACATTGTGAAGGAGGTAATCAATGTCACCGAAAAACATCTGTAGAAATCATTGAATAGGAACTTGAACTGCCTTGTAAACCTTCACCAAACATATAAAATAGTGTGAAAATAATAAAGTAAATCAGACCACATTGCTCCTGCTCAAAACCTCTAACAGCTTACTAGTGTACTCGGAAGACAACTACTCAAGTAAAGACCCCAATCTCCTCAAGCTCCCAGCTACCCACTGACGTCATTTCCTTCCATTGGCCCTCTTACTCCCGCTATTGAAACCACTCACTGAAACCCACTAGCGCCCTCTGGCTGTTTTCACATGTAAGGCTAGGCTCCAAGCCTTTACACTTGCTGCTCCATTTACTGAAAGTAGTCTTGCCTGCTGCGCTAAAATGCCACCTGCCCATCCCTGCCACTGTCCATACAGGAAATCCCAATTTCCAACAGGGTCCCATTCCAGTGACTCTGCCTTAGTTGGTTCTTTTTCTTTTTTAGATGTTATCATTACAGGTATCCTCTGCTTTTCGAAAGCTTGCTTTACGCCACTTTGCTTCTATGAAAGTCCTATATTAATACTGTTCTTGCTACCCAAAAGAAATCCCAAAAAGGATTTTCACTTTTATGAAAAAAAGGTGAAAAGCAAAACTTGCGCTCCGTGATTGCTTCGCAGCAAGCCATTAAAGAGGCAGTGCGCCCCAGGATCAGGGAGAACGGTGGTGCCCACATTCCTACTTTATATATGTTGTGGGTTTGTCACATCCTTCCTGCTTTTACTGATGCTAGTTTTACTTTAAAGGAGCTCTGGTAGCACAGTGGTTATGAATCCGGCTGCGAACCGCAAGGCCAGCAGTTTGAAACTACCAGCTGTTCCGCGGGAGAAAGATGAGGCTTTCTGCTCCCGTAAAGATTTACAGCCTCGGAAACCCTGTGCAGGGTCACTATGAGTTGGAACCGACTCCACGACACATAGCAACAACACAACAACAAGTATTACTTTCAGTTGTATGTGTTATTTGGAATGATTTGGTAGGTTAGTTTGGGGGGTTTGGAAACACAATTTTATGAATGGCAATTGTTTCTTTGTTTCACATTATTTTGGCTTATGAAAGGTTTCATAGATTACTTTCAGATAATGGGAGAAACCAGTATTGCCTTTTATTATTGGTAGGTTTATAAATCCAACAGATGGGATCACATCAGAAAATTATGCATTGCAACACTGGACATAGTGCATATTTATTGCTAATGGTAAGATATCTGGAAAAAAAAAAAAAAAGCAACAACAAACCCCTCCCAAAAAGAGACTGTTTTGAGTGTGGTTCATTTTAAGTCAAACACATTGTAAGTCAGGATCTACCTGTAAGTTTTCTCAAAGCACTTTCACTGACTGGCTTGAAGTTCAATATTGATTGGTTGACTTAATTCCTGTCGGAATCCCTGTCTAGAATTTGGGAACTCTATAGCAGTATCCTTACCACTAGATCAATACATAACATCATAATCAATGGAGAAAAGATTGAAGTTGTCAAAAAATTTATTTTGCTTGGATCAACTATCAAGACTCATGGAAGCATCAGTCAAGAAATCAAATGATATACTGCATTAGGCAAATGTGCTGCACAAGACCTCTTTGAGGAGTTCGAGAGCAAAGATGTCAGTTTGAGGACTAAGGTGCACCTAACCCACACCATGCTATTTTCCATAGCTTCATAATCATGTAAAAGTTGGACAGTGAATAAGGAAGACTGTAGAAGAATGGGTGCATTTGAGTTATGTTGTTGTTAAGTGCTGTCGAATCGGTTATGACTCATGGAGATCCTGTCTAGGGTTTCCTAGGAGTGGATGATGAACTTGAACCTGTGGTTCAAACTGACTTTGCAGTCCAGCTCATTAACCTGCAGTGCCATACCAGGACTTCACAGGGCTCCTGGTAGAACAGGGCAAATGCTGGAAACCGGGGAACGCTGACCATCCTGATTTCTCCCGGGTGTGCAGGTTAAACAGAGTCCAGGGGACACACTGCTCATACCTCCCAGGTTCCCAGAGCCCTGTAGGGAAGGTGAATACCATCTCTATAATTGCAGGGGGGCCAACTTATAGGGAGTGAATTGTGTTACCCAAAATATGTAGCATAAAACTTAACCTCTGTAGGTGGGATTTCAATAAGTTCGTGAAAAAATTCCATTATCTTTTCATTACATTTTCCCATGAAACTGTTTGAAGCCCCCTCATACTTCTGTAAAGGGGCCTTGGTGGTACAGTGGGTTATAATTCAGCTGCTAACCAAAAGGTTGGCAGTTCAAGCCCACTAGCCACTCCCTTGGAGACAGCTGAGGCAATCTTTTGGTATCAAGATTTGCAGGCTTGGAAAACCTATGGGATAGTAGGCATCACCTCAATGGTAGGGAGATTGTTTTCTTTAATACTTATGGATAGCCCTTGGGCAACAGAGTTTTCTTTATTAATGACACCATATCAGTGTAGGGTGTGTCTTATAAACAATCACTTTTAAGGTATAAAAAGAACAGGTTAGACACAGAGAAGAACAAATGTTGTTGTTCGGTGCTTTGGAGTTGGTTCCAACTCACAGCAACCCCATGCAGAAACAGAACAAAACACTGTTCCTGCTCTATCCTCACAAGTATTATCTGAACCCATTGCAGCAGCCACGGTGCCAATCTATCTCTTTGGGGTCTTCCTCTTTTTCACTGACCCTCCACTTTACCAGCATGATGTTCTTCTCCGGGGACTAGGCCTTGGAGAACACATGGAGAAAGAGATGCCATGTGGACATCTCTGCGGAGCACTAAGAACGCTGGGGAAGCTGATACAAGGATTTTCCCCAGAGCGGACCGAGAGCCTTCCGGTAGAGGTAGCACCCTGAAATCGGACTTTTAGCTCCTCACACCGTGCAAGAATACATTTCTGTTTGTTGAAACCACCATCTGTGGTATTTTTGAAACAGCAGCACTAGATTACTCAGATACTGCCTAGCCCAGTTTACCTGTGACTGAGCAGCTTTCCTGGGACTCAAGACCTTTTTAAAACCAGGGTGGTTCCAGGGATCTTGGCAGGAATGGGTCCCTCTGCTGGTCCTTCCCACCAAGGGAACCCTTACTTACTCTGTCTCCAGGGCAGCCAGCCGGGCCTGGAGCCGGGCCTGGGCACTGCTGAAGTCCGCCACCATGGTTTGCATCTCTTCCCGGTGTTCCTTGCGCAGTGCCTCCACCTCCCGCGCCTGCTGGGCTTGCTGGTCCTCCTCCAGCAACCTGGGGGAGGCAGAGCCATGGCTCATCCTGGCTGGAGGGTCTCCGCTACTGGGGGCTGGGGTCTATTCCCCACCCTGCTGGGCATCCCAGTTTGGGAGTCCATGGGTGAGGTATGAATCTGGAAAGGAGATCTGGAGTCCTGAGCTTAGGGGCCCAGGGTTAACCTTTCCCATTCCAGCATTCCACAAAGGAGAAACCTGAGCATGAAGGCAGCTTTGGGAGGGAGGGGGGAGAAAGGAAAAGCTTCAGGGGAGCACCAGAAAACATACCCTTCACACCTGGTGGGTTAACATGCTGAGAGGCTAACTGAAAGGCTGGAAGTTCGAGTCCACCCAAAGCACCTCAGAAGAAAGGCTTGGCGATCTGCTTCTTTAAAAACCATCCACTGAAAATCCCTTGGAGCACTGCTCCCCTCTGATATACATGGGCTCACACTGAGTTGGAACGCACTTGTTGGCAGCACCCAGACTGATTTTATCTACTTTAAAGCAAATCCTTGGCAGTTTTGAGATCTTAAATTCCTGTTGTTTGGGATGCTGAGTTGATTTTGACTCAGAGTAACCCCGTGTTACACAGTGTAACTGCTCTATAGGGTGTTCTGGGCTGTCATCTTCACAGAAACAGATCATCAGGCATTTCTCCCGCAGAACCGATTAGTGGGCTCCTGGTGTGTCGCTGTGTAATTATGTGCTGGACTGCAAAGTCAGTTTGAACCCCAAGGTTGGTGGTTCAAGCTCACTAGTCGCAACTCAGAAATTCTATACAGGGTCACTATGAATCGGAACCAGCTCGATGGCACTTAGCAACCACCACCGTCAACCTTAGGACTAGCAAGCTGAGTGGCTTGTTGAGCGACCAGGACCCTAGATTCCTAGAGGACTGGTACTTCTCATGGACCAAAGGAGGAATATCAGTGAAATGCTAAGGCATTAGGGAATCTTTTCTCTGGCAGGTGCTGAGGGGAGAGACACAATTTTAGGTATCAAGAGCTCACCAAAGGGCTGGGGAAGGAAGGAATAAGGGACGCCCAGGCCCAGAGGGGATGGGTTGCGGGGGTGACGGGGTGTGGGAGGGTGGGATCCAGACCGACCTGAGCTGGTCGCGGAGCTGTAGCGCCTCCTGCCGGTGCAGTTCCACCTCCGCCCGCAGCCGCCGTAGCGCGTCCTTGAGCTGCGAGCTGGTCTCCCCCCGGAGTCCGCAGCCCTCGCTCAGCCCCTGTTCAGCGGCACCAGGCGGAGCCTGGCCCAGGCTGCCCTGCTCCAGAGGAAGCAGGGAGAGGTGTGTTTTCAGGAGGCACAAACGGCCACAGGTGTGTTGGGGTCAAGATGGAGGCCTTGAGCCCAGTCCCTAACTCTCAATGGGGCTCACACCTAGTCTCTTAAGGTTGTCCTACTTAGCACACGGGCCAAAGCAGACAGTGAAACGGCGTGATAACGTCGCGAGTCATGAATACCGCAGAAATCTAAGCAAGTTCTGAAGGCTCTGTGGTAAGTGGTTATGTGCCTTAGATGGTCACCTAAGGCTGTAGTGGGGGTCTGCAGGGGCAGAGGCCTGGGCAGTTAGGGGGCCAGGGGATCACAGCGAGAAGGGAGGGGCCTCCAGTGAGAGGGAGGGGCAAGGGAGTCCCGCTGGGTGGTGGTCTCAGTGACCCAGACTGACTGCCTGGAGAGCAGACCCGTCAGCAGGGTAGCTGATAGACCATCATACCTGAACTGTACACAACGGGCACCATTTGAAACCTGCTTTTCGAAGATGAAGCCTGCAGGCCCCGTAAGTATCCCTAGACCTGTGGTCTCCCCCATTTCAGACAGGTATGGAAGGAGGGTCTCCCACAGTTCAGACAAGGGCATGGAAGGAGAGGGGTCTCTCATTTCAGACAGGTGTGGAAAAGAGGGTCTCTCCCATTTCAGACAGACATAGAAGGGGAAGATTCTATCTCAATTCAGACTGGTATGCAAGAAGGAGGGTTGCCCCATTTCAGCCAGGGATGTGGAAGGAGAGGGTCTCCCCATTTCAGGAGGGTGTGGAAAGACAGGAGTGACCCCATTTTAGACGGGTGTAGAAGGACAAGGGTCTCCCCCATTTCAGACAAAAGAAAGATTGAGTCCCGGAATCTGTTCATGTGAGGCTTCTAGCCGCAGCCTAATGAGAGGGGTGTGGTGTGGGCAGAGGAGGAGGCTGACCTCTATGGTAAGGGCTTGGTCCTCGCTGTCCTCTGGGGCCCGGGGGTCAGCCTGCTGCTGGCCTGAGCTGTCCAGAGCCCTCAGCTGGGCCTGTAGTGCCGCCAAATCCTGCTGGTGCTCGGAGCACACAGCCCGCTGCTCAGACAGTTCCTGCCTGAGGGACTCTGGCAACAAAAAAGCAGAATGTTAGGGGGCATCCAGGGCTGAACTCTGCCCTGTGGAGACAGCAGTCTCTGGGATAGGGCTCTGGGTTAAGTTCCTTTAAACTTTTCCCAAGATAATAGTAAGACCAGCTACCCCATAACGTGCACTTCTTGTTAAGTGCCGAGGAGTTAGTTTTGACTCAGCCATCCTGCACAGTGTTTCCAAGGAGCAGCTGGTGAGTTTGAACCGCCGACCTTGTGGTTCAAACCGACCTCGAGGTTGAGTGCTTATCCTGTGGCACCACACCAGGATGCCAATGTGAACTTACCACTTAAAACCCAAACACAATGAAAAACCAAGTCCTTGATACAAAAATAAGTAAAATGAAAACGTTTTAACAAAGCATGAAATACAGTTACAGTGTATTATTTACCCCTCGTCACTCACACTCTCAAATCTTACCTACATCCATCTACCCTGTAAGCACCTCTGCCCAATGCAGCAAGTTTGCTGGAGAACCACTGCCCCATCCCGCCCTTTTCCCACCGAGTTTTCTGGGTTCAAGTCCGTATCCTTCCAGACCCTCTGAATGGATCTTGTTGGGAAACAGGCCGTCTGCTGGTGCTAGTAGTGAACGTGAGATGATGCTGGTGAAGGGTGGACTCCATGGAAGAAGGTGACAATGACTGATGAGAGAGCAGACACACAAGAGAGAGCTATGGGAGACAGAGGCAGAGAGTGGAGTGAAGCAGCTATAAGCCAAGAAACAGCAAGAATACGGGCAGCCCTACCAACAAGCTCAGAGAAAGAAAGGCGTACAGCAGCTTCTCCCCCTAAAGTCTTCTGAGAAAGCATGGCCCTCCAACACATTGACTTTGGCCTTGTAGCCTCCAGAAGGGTCAGAGATAAATTTCCGTTGTTTTAAGCCATGCAGTTTGTGGTACTTTGTCACGGCAGCTCTATACTGAGCAAGGCTGCGGATCATCCGTGTCTAATATATTACAGGTGGAATGCCTATGGTCATTCTGACGTGGTAGGTGCCCCCTCGCTGCCACAGCCACGCAGGCTTCATCATCATTGCACAGTCCACAAAGTTCCTTTCTCCAGGGCTTGTCCCCAGGGTCTCTCCAGCGTCGCCAGGAAAGGACAAGACTTCTAAGGCATCAGAGGAGACAGAGGAGGGGTGGCAGGGACATCTGCGCCACCCGCTGCTGTTGGGGCTGGAGTCACCAGGGCTATCCAGCCCGATCTGTACCTTGCACCCTGAGACACGCGGCACAAGCTAGGTTTCATGGTCTACAATGCCTCTTCTTTACAGCAGGCCAAGTTTAACAGACACAGTTCCCGTGTGCCGCTGTGGGATAAGCCCTGGACTGCTAACCACAAGGCTGGCAGTTCAAATCCACGAGTCGCTCCTTAAAAACCCTATACATAGGGGGGGTCCCTATGAGTCGGAATCGATTCAGCAGACTTAGCAACAACAATGAGCTGTCTGACACTTTGTCATACTGTGGTGACCTGAATGTTGGTATGACTCTGGAAGCTACGCTACCAGTATTCCAAATAAGTGACCATGGTGGACAGGTTTCAGTGGGGCATTTGGACTAAGACTACGAAGAAACACTTGGCAATCTACTTCCAAAAATTGGCCAAAAAAAGCTGAATGGAGAACATTCAGAAGCTTTGATGACAGAGGTGTACCTGAGCCAACTCAGGGTGTTTTCATGTGAAAGTTGGACAGTGAATCCCAACAAGCAAAGAATTGATGCCTCTGTATGATGTTGGTGAAGAATATTCACAGCACCATGGACCGCTAGAATAAACAGATCCATGTTGGAAGAAGTATAGAAGTGTGGATGATGGGCTTTGTCTCACGTACTTTGGACATGTTAGCAAGCGGGACCATTCCCTGGAGAAGGACATCATGCTAGGTAAAGTGGAGGGTCAGTGAAAAAGAGGCAGGCCCCTGGATGCGATGGACTGAAAGTGGCAGCAGCCATGGGCTCAGACATAGCAATGATTGTGAGGAGGGGGCAGGACCACACAGTGTCTCCTATTCTGCACCGGGTCACTAATTCAAGAGCGTCTAATAACACCAACATCTCACAAAGGGTTACAGCCACAGCCTGGTGATGTTGTTGTTGTTAGGTACCATAGAGTTGATTTCAACTCACAGCGACCTTATGTGTAAGAGTAGAAGGACCCCATAGGGAGTCCTGATGTGGCACTGTGGATTAATGTGCTACACTGCAAGGTAGGTTTGAACGGCAAGGCCAGCGGTTCAAATTCACCAGCCACTCCTCAGAAACCCTACACAGGGTGGCTATGAGTCAGAACGGACTCCATGGCACTGAACAGCAGCAATCTTTATGGGAACAGATGAGACATTGGTGGGTTCAAACCCCTGGCCCTGGGCCAGCCGGGCTGGTTTGCGGGGCTGCCCTGCGGAGGTTGGGGTGTGCCTGGGTGCAGCGGTTGCCTACCTAACAGCAGAGACTGCTGCTCTTGCATCCGCTCACGTTCCCCCTGCAGCTCTTGCCTCGCCTTCTCCTCCAGGGCCTGCAGTTCCAGCCGGTGTGTCTGGTGCTGGATTTGAAGGCTGTGGCTGGACTCCTTCTTCAGGCGCTCCTCCATGGCCTGCGGCAGACAGGGAGGGAAGAAGGCATGAGAGCTGACATGGAAGCCAAGGCTGGTCCTCTCTGCCTAGCAACTCCCCTGGGTGGGGCTGCCTGGATTTACCATGCTACCACGAATGCTCCTCCACTCATCCACGGTGATGGGGATGGCAGCCGTTTTGGGCCATGCGAACCCACCCTTGTACACAGCTGATTGGACCAGAATGGACGTCTGTTCCAAGCTGGGCCAATCAGAGTTCTTCCTTGGGAATGTGGTGTAAGAACATGTGTATGTGTGTGTGTGTGTGCGCGCTATTAAGTATTAACTACACATTAATGGCTGCTTTTGCCAGGTGCAAAACCTTTCTGAGGACAATAACTCAAAACGGTCATTTATGCCAGGTATAAACTGTGACAAAACTATGGGGAGATTTCAAACTTTCCCAGAAATCCAACTTGACATTGAAGGACGCTGCTGTCTCGCCAGTTCCCACCAGACAGAAGCATCTACAGAGCCAATGCAGAAAGGCCCTCTATTTGTGAGACCCTCCCTTCAATTAAGAACATACCTAGCACCCAATCTGGAGTCCTGGTGTGATAAAGTACGGTAAGCACTGGACTGCTAACTGCAGGGTCAGTGGTTCAAACTTACCACCCACTCCTGGGAAACCCTCTGTAGGGTCGCTGTGAGTCAGAAGCCATCACAGTGTCCTCGCACTGCCTGAACAGGCCCCTTCTTGGACGTCTGCAAACAAGGAGCCCTGGTGGTGCAGTGGGCTAGGCGTTGTGCTGCTAATTTCAAGATGAGTGGTTCAAACCCACCAGCTGCTCCATGGGAGAAAGATGAGGTTGTCTGTTCCTATAAAGATTCACAATTTTGGAAACCCTATCTAGGGTCTCTATGAGTCAGGATCAACTCGACAGCTAAGGTACTTTTTGTTTTGTTTTGGTGTCTGCAAACAGCTCCTCACTCAATAGATCCTCCTAACTGATGGACTAATGGGTGACATTTTTCTTCTCAGCAGTTTTCTTCATCCTACCTCCCTCAGGAGCAGACAGTGCCCCTGACCTAAGAGCAGATGGAGCTGTCTGTGGACAGAGACACAGGGGTGCGATGTACCCCCGTCCAGCCTTTCAATCTGTGGTCTACTATGGTTCTGAGGACTGTTGTGTCTGCCCTTGGGTTCATTTACATGATCATGGTTTTATTCATTTGTCCTTGCATTCAACACATACACATATTAATTTGTCAGGCATCCTAAAGAAGGGTCTATGAAATCTTGTGGTAGTGGTGGGGTGTGCCACCGAGTCAGCGTCCACTGATAGCGACCCTGTGAAGGGTTTCAGGGGCTGTAAATCTTTATGGGAGCAGAAAGCCTCATCTTTCTACCAAGGATTGACTGGTAGATTTGAACTGCTGACCTTGTGGTTAGCAGTACAACTGATAATCCACTACGCGGCCAGGGCTCCTTATAAAATCTTGTAGCCTTTAGTAAATATTTCGTCACTGTCTTTGCTAGCCTAAGTAAGAGTCTGTGGTGGGAAAAATAGCCTCTTCAAAGATGTCTTTGTCCAAAATCCTGGAACCTGTGAATATAATAACTTACAAAGCAAAGGGGCTTTACAGGCATTTACACCAAGAGTATTGAGAAGGTCAGCTCCGTGAGTTTACCTCAAGCTGGAAGCATCTCTGGTGAATTGCTCCCAACTCTATGGGGGGATTCAGCCTGCTCCCACTGAGATCTGTTTGGAGCCTATGGAGCTCAATTTCACTCTGTCACTTCGTGACTTACCACATTAGGCAAATCTGTAGCATGGGACCTCTTTAGAGTGCTAAAGAGCAAAGATGTCACTTTGAGGACTAAGGTGCTCCTGACCCAAGCCATGCTATTTTCAATCACCTCATATTGAAAGTACCATGGACTGCCAGAAGAACAAACGAATCTGTTTTGGAAAAAGTACAGCCAGAATGCTCCTTAGAAGCTAGAATAGTGAGACTTTATCTCACATACTTTGGATGTGTTGTCAGGAAGGACAAGTCCCTGGAAACGGATATCAAGCTTGGGAGAGTAGAAGGTCATTGAAAAGGAGAAAGACCCCCACGGAGATGGGCTGACACAGTGGCTACAACTACAGACTTGAATATAACAACAACTTTAAGGGCAGCACAGAGCAAGCGTTCTATGTACGTAGGATGGCTTTGAGTTGGAGCCAGCTTGATGTGTGGCGCTGTGGGATAAAGAACTGGACTGAAAGGTCTGTTTAAACCACAAAGTCAGTGGTTCAAACTCACCAGCTGCTCCCTGCAAACCCTATACAGGGTCACTATGAGTCGGAACTGACTCGACAGCACTTAACAACAACAAAAGTTGACGTTTTGATAGCTGAGACATGTACAAAGTAAATTTGCAGCAACATATAGACTAGTATTTGGCCAAAAAACAACTGGACACCAGGAGTAACCAAAAAAAAAAAAAAAGTATATGGCTACATATGTGTGTGTATAGTCATCTATTATTTGTGTATGTGTCAACAGAACTGTGTACACCTGTATACACAGTTGTGTGCGCACATACATGTTCATTGAGGACAGTTACAGATATTTCACAGACATTACCAAGTATCTTGTGAGATTTGTATTTTGGGTTTGAAGGCTTAGGACCTCAGTTTCATGGGACAACTCAATCATTGGCATCACATAAGTTCACAGAGTTCATGTTCTGCATCCCAGTGAGGTGAACAGCATCCGGGGTCTTAAAAGCTTGAAAGCAGCCATCTAAGATAATTACTGGTCTAGTACTGTCAGGCATAAAAGAGGACGAAGGAAACCAAGGTCTTGGAGAAGATACTAGTCTCCGAAGCTGACTGTCTACACAAATCAGAGCTGCGTCTATCCTGAGACCGGAAGAACTAGATGGTGCCCGATTACCACTGTTCTGCTCACGGTCAGAATAGACGGACCATGGTAAGGACAGGAGAAAAATGTAGAACAGAACTCAAATTCTTAACAAGTTCAGACTTACTGGACTGTTTGAGACCGGAGGAATCCTTGTGACTACCACCCAGCGATCCTCTTTAAATCTTGAACTGCAACATTCCCCAGAAGTCACCTTTTAAGTAAAATTGCAGACTGGCTCTCAAAATAAAGGCTGTCACCTAGGAGTACAGTGTTCCATTAAAAAAACAAACCCAACATCTGTATGATAAGAACATGTCAACTGTTACTCTAAAGCAGGGGCTGTTGTTGTTAGGTGCCATCAAGTCAGTGCAGACCCATAGTGACCTTATTATGCACAGCAGAATGAAACACTGCCCAGTCTTGGGCCAACCTCACAATTGTTGCCACGCTTGAGTCCATCAATGCTGCCACTTTGCCAAGCCATCTCTTTGGGGGTCTTCC